GGCTCGATAATTGTGTGTCGATCCGAACTCGATCTCGAACTCGAACTCGAACTGGTCCATCCCCCTCTCGCTCGATCCACGCAATCTCGCGCGTCGAACTCGAACTTGAACTCGAACTCGAACGGGATCAGTTAGAACTACCTGGGGCACGGCCTGAGAAGAAGAGGAAGAAGAGAGACAGAAGGCGGCGCCGTGTGACCCAAGAAGGGGTGTGAAAGCTAGTGCGTAGCCTGTTTGTACAGGGTGTGGATCACCTAGTGCCCGTTTCTTAAGTAGATTTTCGTTTTTGACGACTTGGGATTGGAGCTGACTTTGGTTTGTGGTCCTTTGTTGGTGATTTGCTTTGACAACTTGGCAGGATAACCTTTTAGAAGGTTTGGTGTGGCCAGACGTGGCTAGGAGAAGCCTAGAACCTTTTTTGTAGCACTCTGTCTACATGGAGACTGTTTGAGGTAGTTCTTAGTTTGGTGCAGGTTTGAGATGACTGTGAACAGTCTTGACTCTTTTGAGAAGAGCTGACAAGCCTTGGAGAAGCTTTGAGAACCTTTGAGACAGTCTAAACCGACTGTGACTTTGGCTCAAGGAGCGGGATCGGAAAGCGACCGTGTTTTCACGATCTTTGGACAAATCAAAGTCTGCGCCCAATTTGTTAATTTTCCGCAGGAACATGTGGCTTCGACTGAAACCCACTCAAGAACCCAACCACAAAGGCCAACAAAGCCCTGGAAAGAGCTGCCCATGCGAGTTGTCCCAGGACAAGACGAGAGCGCTGAGCTTGTGACGCTGACAACTCGGGCGTGCCAAACTTCTTTTCAACATCTTGCAGCAATTCTTCCAATTTAGGCATGGCTGAGCGGCTGAGCCCTTGGTTTCTTTGGAGTTCCCTTCCCACGAAATGAAAATACCTTCCATGTAGCTACGCGTGCGCCAAACCCAAAAACACAAACAATCCTCACCATCTCGAGGTCGATAAATGGTTCGTCCCAGAAATTTCAGCAAACCCATTTTCTTCGCTGGGATCTGGCCTATCCACCAATCTTCCAATTGTCCTGCAACTTCTTGGGTCAGGTTTCACCGCTTTTTTGGATTTTTGGTCACTTTGCTCGCCTTAAAAAGATCATCCACGCACACCTTGGAAAAGAAACCCCCGTGTTCGTGGAAATTCGAAACAAAGTCGATTGGAAAGTCGTCACCACCAAGGCGATAAAAATAGTTCGCTGCAACTCCAAACCACAACAAAGGTGCTCTCCGCAGACCGTTCATGGCCTTCTGCAAACCAAGACCATGAACGACCTAACCTTTCATGGTGATGTTTTCGGGCAAAAAAACAAGGTCACATCCACCAGCGCGTGCATAAAAGCAGTGGAAACATCGCCGTCAAAAAATTCAATGAAATCTCGATCACCAAAGCAAGATTCCGGAACGCGACTCTCTGCTTCCGACCATGCACCAGATCCTGGCTCACCAGCTGCATATTCATGCCCTCCTCTTCTGACACCTTCCTGCCACCATTCACACGAAGAGGGTTGGCAGGGAGTTCAGAAGCCATCTCCACTCGTCTAGTAAGACGGCAAGGAAAGCTTGTTTGGTTTCATTTGACGTTGTTGGATGTATGTTTGCAGGCGCTTCCTTTAAGCATCAACGTCAAAATTTTCGCTCGCAACGCACTTCTGGTTTTATGCGACTGAAATGAACTTTGGGTCGGTGCGCCGCCGCCTTGGTTCCACTTTAATAAGAGCTGAAAAAAGTGACCAAGTTTTTTGTTCCTTCAAGAAAACAAGTTTCCAAAAACCCAAGCAAAAACCGACCAACATTTGCCGGCCAAGATGGAGGCCATTCACTGAGAGTTATATAATTGGATTTGGTGTTCGGACAACCCCGTTTGGGTTCCGTTTCTGGGCACCACACGGCTGCGCCGCTCTGAACAAATTGGATGTGGGGCTATCTGTTGCGTGCTTGGGAAACCATCGAAGATTGTGCCATTTTTCGCCCATTGGCAAAAAATTTGGCTGAATGGAAGAATGTGAATTTTTGTCCATCCTGTGTTGACCGCAATTGCTTTGCGCACTGCTTCGTAGCTTTCTTTGTTGTTTGAAAGGGCATTTGCACTTTGTTCAGCAGATGCCAGCTGGTTCACCACCTGCAGTTCATATTGATTATTGAAGAAGGGGTTCTAGTCGGGTTTTGTGATGCCTTGTCGAATGTTACCAGCACCTCTGAGCGTTGATTTCTTGACGCGGATGCTGTTTGAAGTGTTTTAGCGGACGACAGGAGGTTCCAGCCTTGCCTTCCGCCGAAGCAGAGACAATCGCCATCGCGGAAACCAGTAAGTAGCTTGTCGCCTCAGGCATGTCAGTGGAGACTGTTCGGGACGGGATTCCTCTTGATGAGCTAGGCACGCCAGCCAAGACCACAGGCAGCGTGAAGCTTGTACAACGATGGACAGGCGGCTATTTTGATTTCCACGATGGAAGGCTTGATTCGTCGGGTTAAGCGCGTGGAGCTGCGTGCCCACTGTACGTAAAGTACTTGCGTCGGTGATGACGCCGCTAAACTCTTGAACGTTGGCCGGGTGCGACTAACCCGTCGGACGGATTGACCAAGACTTGTCGGATGATTGAGATGTGGATTAATCTGTGTGATGCTGTTGGGCTGGTTCCAGGTTAGAATTCTCACCAGGCGGTGTTGCTTCGATCTGTGCCTCGATTGGACGATGCCATGCTTGTCGAGCCAACGGCTGAAGAATCCGTGCCATCTCCCACGGTCAGCAAGTAGCCTCTGCCGTTGGGGGCTCTTTGGGCTTGTCCACGACACATTTCCGTTCACTGCTGGCACGGGAAGTTGGATTGACTTCCCCCTCTCCAGTCTGCAGGGGTTCACTGCCAACATGGCCTTTAAGGATTCCTCAGGCACTGCCAACGTGCTGAGCACATTGTGCGCCCTGGTGAGTTGCAAGGTATGAGAGGCTTCGATCGGAGTGCTATCACCGGATCACTGCTTGTTTCAACCAATTATTTTGGCCAAGCATTTGCAATTGTGGGCTTGGAACATCACACCCTAGTGCCAGCTGCAATCTTGTTAAGTTGGCTCCTTGGTGATTGATATGTTCATCGAGGTGTACCTGAGCAGACTGCACAGTATTCACTGTTTTTCTTTGCCTTTCCTTTTCTGGGTGACGGTTGGCTCTTACATCGCGCCTTGATAGTGAAATAAAAAACACCCGAATATCAGCTTTACGTGAGAGGAGGCGCAACCAGCAAGACGTCTTCGCCAGTGTACTTGGTCGTGCGCCTCCTCCGACCTTTTCTGTTCCATTGCTCTTGGCCCTGGCAGCTGGTGACAGTCCACCTGAGAACTTGTTCTCGGGGATGAAGAGGGGTGAGTGGGAGTTGGTGGTGGCTTGGTTACAGAACGGCCCTCCATGTGACATCCTCGTTATACCTGGTGTCACGGTAGGCAGCGTTTTTTAATCGAAAAGATGGTGCAGCTTTTACCTTCTCCGATTTCCTCGTTTCTATTTTTTTGGTGCGATGTTTGGCACCAACCTTGTACCGCGCTATGATCTTAAGAAATGAACTTGGCTGGCTTCACTTTGTCTTCGAGTTGTGGCGATGTGCGGCGCCGTCCGCAATGCACGCTTTCATGGGGAAAGGATATTTGGCTGGTATAGAAATAGGGCAGAGGAGTAGGCAGGCTGGGCCATGCTGTTCACATTGGATGCGGAACTTGGTTTTTGGAAGGGTTTCGCAGTACACGGTGTTGCAATCCTCGCACATGTGCACAGATTCGCAGCCGTTGCGTGCAGACGAGAACTTGTGATTTCATTGTTTTGGAGCATGGAATGAAGAACTAAGAACTTTGAACAAAAACACGATCAAAACGATCGAACGCGCCGTTTTCACAGCTAAACCTTGGGCCACTTAACCTGCACATGACAACGGTGGAAAGCTGTAACACTCCACCTAAAAAGCGGCGTGCAGTAAAGGTCGCTTTTTTCTCACACTTCACCGCTTTCCACGTAGCGGCGGGTTCGGCCTTCAAAGTCGTCCTCCCATTGGCTCGAAAGGACCGCCACGCTGAATGCAGCGAAGTCCCGCTGCTCTTCTTGGGTCCGCCCCATGATGTGATCAAACACCATGTGGTAGTACCGCTTGCCGTAAAGAGAGGTCAAGCGGGTTCGTAGGAACTCCTTCAGCTGGTTGTTGGGGAAAATCCCAGTTTCTTTCAGTTTCCTTGCTCTTGGCTTCTCTTCCGGCTTCAGCCATGCAATCAAAGCCTCATAGTCCCACCAGGCAGCATCAACCGGTGGAAACTCCTCATAGGGCATCTCGGCCAGTTCTCTGGCTCTGGCATCAGTTCTTCGGGCACTTTGGGCAAGTTGTTCATCAATGTCCACTTCCATAGGGCTTGCTTCATCTCGTTCGGAGGTCGATGGCTTGTACCTCCTTTGATATCCTCCAAGGGGATTGCTGATGAAGTATTCTTCACCACTTTCTGCGTCATCAGAACTTGCCAACAACCGGTATTCTTGTAGTCGTCGAAGTCCTGGATCCCAATCAGTCACCCAACTTCCAACCCAGGTGATCTCTCCTCCAAATGGGTTGTTTCCATTGTCAGTTTGACCTTCTCCTTCAGCTTCTGGTTCAGACTCTCCATCTTGTGGCCACATTCGAGTCTCTGGTGTTGCTTCATGACCTAGTTCTTCTGCTCCTTCTCCTTCTGATTCTCTGGGCAGCAAGGGTTCATAGGTCCGTGGTGCAAAATCAGGATGCCATTCACCAATGCCTGCTGCCATGCTTGCTCTCATAATCATACCCACTTCATTTTGGAGATCTTGTTCACGTTGAAACTCCATTGTTTTCTCCTGTCGTAGAAAGCGACTGCATGTTCGAAAGAAAATGGAAATCTTCATTCAAAATCTGTAGCCAAGGTAGATGCCAAAGGCGAACACAAACAGGGTGTAGACCCACGCAATCTTGAAGATCATCCACCCTGTCCACCACTCTCCTCCTTTTTGTCTGCAGTGCAGTCCTTCTCCAACCACTCCTTGTTGCAGCAAAAGCAAAGTCAGTGCTCTCACAACATTCGTGGGTATTTTGGCTCCTGAACTTCCATGGTCCAGCACCACCATCTGCACCATCTCCTTCTTCACCTCCTTCATCTTCTTTGCAAGCATCTTCTTCTCCAGTTCTTGGTTGAAGGTTTCTTCGCCAACTCTTGTGAAAATCTCCTCCTTTCCTTCTGCATTCATCTCCATGCAGCCAATTAAGTACATCAGAAATTCACGACGTTGTCGACTCAGCTTCCAAATCGGAGACATTCATCAAAGTTGGGATGTTCTCCATGACCAAAGTCTCTTTCTTCACTTCGAGTTGCATCCACAAGTACTTGATGTCGATGTGCTTCCGTCTTCCAACCCCAAGTCGTTCGGTGAAGGCACGACACGAGGTGCTGTCAGTGATGGCCTTGATCATCACCTCTCGTCGACTGACGAAGATCCATAGATCTTTCACCTGAAGTGCTTCTGCAGTCCCGCCGGCTGCTGCCAAGAATTCGGCTTCACAGCTGCTCAATGCAATGCTCTTTTGTGATCGACTCCAGCTTGTCACCATGCAGCCATTCAAAAACATCTGGACTGAACTGACACTATGCCTTCTTCTTGAACTGCTACTCTTGTCACCAGCCCAGTCGCTATCTGTGAATGACTCCAGGTAGTCAGGGCCATCTGCATCCGCCACCTGGCAAAGAATCTCTGACTTCTTGCTTCTGTACTTTTGGTAGCGAAGTAGCAGGCCATAGTTCTCAGTGCGCCGCAAGTAAAGAATCACGTGCTTGATCTCTGCCTCAGCTTTCTTTGTTGGTTGTGCCATGGACTGGCTCAGGTTGCGGATGCAATGTTGCACATCCACTCGATCTTGGCTCACATAGAGCAAAGTTCCAAGTGCTGAGCGAAATCGAAACTGGTCTGCTCCTTCAAGGAGGTCGGAAGGTCCTCCTTCCAACTCCACCTGCGAACTTTCTGGGGTTGCTTTCCCCGTCCTGTTCTCCAGGCCATAGAGCTCCACCAACGCTGGAATGTAGCGCTCGTGAGGCATGATCACAATGCCTGCCTTTGTGAAGTAGTGTCTCTTTTTCAAGCACCTCACAGCTTCGTCTTCTGGTTGGTCGTCTGCAGGCGGCGGCGATGCCGCCATCCAGTGCCCTCGGCGCCACCATCTTTGGCCGGCCATGGGCCCCGCAACATGTTGAAGTGGTCATTGACCAGAACCTCTTCCAGCTCCAAGTCGGCTGCCCTCCGGCTGCCGGCTAGGACTTGACCACTCCCTTTTTGGACTTTGCCGGTTTACTTTGCCCCTTGATTTCGCACATCAGGACGCTGGCCTGTATACAGCAGCGTAGGCCGGTCCTGCGGTTCAAACAGTAGCATGAACAAATTGTTGTGCAGGTGTAACCTTCTGGGAAATCCTCAAGTGTGTTCGCCTTCACACGGGGATTGGCGTTCGCAGGGTGGTCGGTTGGAGGTGTTGGATGTCGCTGTGACAGTGGGATTTGTGTTTCAGGCTGTTGCCTGAAAGCCATGTTTTCGTGAGACAAATCCCAGCTAAAATTGCAAGGACACCCGCCAATGGAACCTCGCTGTCAACTGCGCAAGCAGGGGCCCACGCCGTTGCGAAGTTGCGACGCTATTTCAATCACAAGAATCTCGACACTGTTTGCCATGCGGTATGAAACACTTTGAGATGCCCCATCGGCGTAACCAAAGCAACTGCTCACAAAACTGCGGGATGCAATGAAATTGGTCGGCAATGAAACTGGGAATGCAACCGTGGCGTGCAAAGGAGGGGCACGAAAGCATATGGACATTGGATCTGCGATTTGCTGACTTGTGTCTGCATGTCTGTAATTATGTAAAAGACCTGGGGATGAGCTTGTTGGGGTTGGATTTGTATCGCAAATGCGGCAAGCCGCGCACATTCAATACTTGAAGCTTGGCCACCGTGCGTTTATTACGCCGCACAAAGCCCGGTGACATTTTGTCCCGCGTTCGCAAGCAGTAGCGATGAACACCAAAAGAGAACAAACGAAAACAAAAGTTTCATCCACAAATGAAGATTGGATATTGGCGTCCACCTGTGTGGCGGCAGCATCCAGGCATCCACAGTGGGTTGTCATTGCATTCCTGGCTAGAAGTTTGGGTTTAACCATGATTGGCCCTGCAATGCTGCCACAGGTTTGGGGGCATAAAAGTGTTGGATACAGCTAACACCTTTGTGGCGTGTGTCCCCCAACAGCAAACACACTGGTCCCCGCATCAGTCAGGACACAGGTATGTTGGCCTTTTGAACATACTGCGAAACACAAAAGTGGCAAGCGTGTGACAACGTAATGCCATCTAGAACGCAAGAACCCGGCAAGATCAGAAAACAACGAAACAAACGAGTGAGAAAGGATCGTTTGTCGCACAACCTACCATGTTTGCAACCAGTACAGCATCATCATGGTTGCCTTTACGCTGGCTGTTTTATTTTTCCAATTTTGCGTTTCATGCAATGCGGCGGAGGAGGAGGTGGAGGTGGAGGCCGAGGCATAAAGTTTCGCAACCCCCTGACAGGTGGGAATTAGGTGCTTGCACCAATGCAATTCGATTGTTGTTTTGTTTCCCTAAGGGGTTTGGACGGTCGGCGTGTAAAGCACTCGTATGTTTTTCTGACCTCGCATACAAAATGCCTTGGTGCAAACATGGGTGGGGTTTTGTCGGCTAGCTGCTAGCATTTGTGGTTGCTACTTCAGCTCACACTCAAGCGTAGCGCGTGAAGTGAAAGGCTCACGAATAGATCGGAGTTGTTGTATCTTATTTGTTTCTTATTTCAAGTGTACGGGATTGGCACTGCAAGGGTTGCTCCGTACTTTTACATTATGTATCAACAACATGAAATGGCTCGGTTCGCTTTGATGGCGGCCCTGAACACCAATGTTTGGAAGGCCATTGACTGGATTAGCATTGGATGTTGCCACTGCTCTTGTTGGATGCGTTTGCTCGGCCATGACGTGAGGCAACATGGGAACCCAAACGCCTGCTGCAATACGTTTTGCCAGCAAGGCCTTCCATGAACATACGTCACACAAGTTGATGTGACAGTTTGTTGCAACGCGCTTTGTTCTCGGTAGGTGGCAAGGTTTCGCCACTTGGTCGCATGGTGTGACGAAAGGTGGTATGTGCATTCTGGTTGCCACCTGAGGTTGCTTAGATTCAGTCCCAGATGCTGATGAGGCACAAAAACAGGAAATAGAGGCCGTGGGCTAAGGTGCACCGTGAATCGCACACGCTGTTTGGCACTAGCATTGCGAAACATCTTGCAGGTTCTTGAAAGTATTTACGCTGAATCATTGCAGATTCTGAGCGAGGAGGGTGAGAGGCTCGGGTATGGGTTGCGGCTCAACGCAGTTGCGGTGTTTTAGTGGCAAGTTGTGCAGGCCCATGCTTTTGCGTGTCGAAGTGCCCGTTGCCTTAGACAGTGGTTCAGTCCAACTACTCATTGAAACGGCTGAGGGGCAGGCGGGCTGCAGCTCTGGCGTTGTACTACTTTATCCCTTCGAAGCTTGTGCAGTATCATAAAAATGTTGGTGCATATGTTGCAGCAAATGCGCTAGTGTCATCAGCTCGCAATTCTTCAGTCAGATTTGCATTTTGGCGCTGGAAGGTGCCAGCAGGGTCTGTGGAAGAGCTTCCGCCATGCGTTCTGTTTATCGTTGGGGCCTGACTTGATGTCAATACTGCGTTTGCCCGTTAGGCCTTGATTGCTATCTGATTGTTGCTAATTTGAGGCGCTACCACCTCATTGGCCATTAGCGGGACCAGCAACAGCTGCCATGGTGCTGGAGGTGCTCCAGCCTTTCTTGATTGCATCGTTGTCGTGCTGACGCACCTGGTTTGTTTGCCAGTGTTGCAACCGCAGGCCCCTCACATGGGCAGCTCTGAGTTAGAAGCTCTCGAGCCACGTGCTTAGAGTCTTAGAGTCAGTAAGTTATAAAAAATTCCTGATATGATTTTAGCAGCAGTTTGCTTTTGCATCAGTCAAGTCAAAATCAAATGGGGTTTGCAGAAACTGTGTCCAAATACAGACCCTACATGTCAAGGTGCAGTCTTGAAGATGAAACCAAGCAAGAGAGCAGCGTTTTTGACTGGGTTTGCAAGCTGCAGGCACGCTGATTGTGGAGGGTTCGCGCTGATTCTTCAACAGATCCCATATGCAATTTCTCCGTTTCAACGGCTCAGGAGCATCTCCATGTTGAAGACCAACTCCTGCTGTCTTCGGAGATGTTCCGTGAGGAGCACATGCCTTCTGCAGGTGCTTTTGTGCCCTTGTGCTATTAGTTTTCAGATGGTACTGCATCCGGTAGGACAATCCGATGGAAGTAGCAATGACTTTGCTCTCGCACAACCAGCGTGCAAACCACGAAAGGCGCCAACGTGAGAATCAGGCACGGTATGAAGACGATGCAGGGTGCACCATTCCAAAGAGACGATGTGTATATAGACATTATGCAGTGACATTGGTTTTGGTTGAAGGTGTGCCCAGTGTGCTTCGATGAACTTCCTGGTTCCAGAGGAGTTTTTCTATCGTGTGGGCACTTCGGGTGCTTGCAGCTCAGATTTGAACATGCTGAGCTTTGCTGTTGGCCCGTGTCTCGTAATTGTGCCTTTGAGGCCACGACTGCTTGCAGCAGATGGCAAGGCTTTACACTTCGGAGGCGTAGGGCAGTTGCGCGGAATTGGTTGCTTTGCTTAGAGTCTTAGAGTGTTTCTGAACCTCCAAGGTTTGAACAGTGCCATGTTCTCAGCCCTGTCTTAGACCATGTTCCGTTCTGTTTTTTTTACATTTGCACCACTCCAAACATCACTTAAAACATCTTTGGTAGACATGCCTGCAACACACATAGGTTATATAAGTAGCTGTCCGTCACTATGTATGTAGCATTCCGCATTCCCAAATCTGGCACGTAGTTCCAAAAAGCAGGATCAGTCAAACGCCTCTTGGTCGGTTGCGCAGCAGCAGCAGTCACAGTGCGGACCGTCGGTCTGGGATCCGCAGTGGGATCAGAGTCTTAGAGCCTGAGTCAGATCGTTCTGGATGTGTAGGGCACGGCGAGCGGTAAAAGAACGGAGTGCCACATGAGCGGCACAAAGGGTGGCCTGAGGGATGTACAAGGCCAAGCCGCGAAGCTCAAAATAAACGGAGAGCTCTGCCAACGTCAAATGAGACCGCAACGGTAGCTGCAGTCCGAAAGCAAAAAGCAGGCAGGATCAAAAACAAACCTGCTGGTTCCCTCGTTTGCTAGTCCGCTGGTCCCTAGTTCGCCGACGCTTCGTCTCCGCTGGTTCCCTGTTCTGGTCATCTTGTTCCACTGGTCCGTTGCTCCAAAGGCGCGGGAATTGCACAATGAATGTTCTTTCTACTGTACTTGATTTTGGATCATTTTGCAACGTTTGGATTGCGAATCAGCCTTCTTGCAGCCGCAAGTTGGCTTTGTGCTTCACTCTGCGGGGGATGCGCTGTGCCCCAAACCTGGCTCTGTGCACATACGCCTTGGTACACAGCCTGTACTTGATCGGTGTAGTGTAGGTGCAAAGATAGGCTATTTGTAGATGTTCTTGGCTTCAAGAGGCTTCCATCGTATGCGTGCTGGACGGAGGTACTGCACGAAAGAATTGCAAACTGCAGGGTTGCCATTCTCAACTGAGCATTCTCTGTTGTTCTTATCCTTGTGAGGGTGCTCTAAGAAAGGGACACGTGACATGTCGCTCATGGTTCTAACATGTTCCAAGTCATGACTTACAACATCCCATTGTTACGCGTGTTCGCGGCCTTATGCTCAGAACATGGCTGACAGGTACAACTTTGGGCAAACAAATTTCCCAGACGATGTTCCAAGTGGGTGTCGGTTACTTTTGACATTAAAGTTGTTTCTTGCGCACGTGTGTCCTCGAAAGTTGGAGCTTTGGATGCTTTGTGGTCGCCTGTAAGGGTGATGTGACAGCGCTGCGCTGCCCAGTGCCAGACTGCAGAGTCCCGTGCTTTGATGCCGACGTCCTGCGGCAGCTCTTGGGTCGAACACTCAAGACTCTTGTTTCATCACTTTCACATGTGGTAACGCATTCCGGCGCTCGCTAGCGGCTAGCGGCTAGCTATCAACATCTATCAACCAACAACGACCTCGTGTTGTTTTATCCTTCAGCTCTTTTGCATTTTGGTTCAAGGATTGAGCTGCTGCTCAGTCAGGTTAGTGAGTGCAAAGAAAGCTGTGCAAAACTTCAATTGAGTTGCCATTCGGCTTTGCTGCCTTTGCTGAGGCGAATCGGGGTGCTTGATATACTGAAATTGTTTCTTCTAGTGGTTTGCCGCAAAAAGCACAGGAATTGATTCCTGAATCTGAGTCCGAAAGTGTGAGAGCTCGGGTGAGGACATGGCAGCTTCTTCAGATGATCCTGGTCCAACGGGTGAGAGGCGATTTGAGATCAAGCCGCTCAACTTAGTGTGGGTCACCGTTCCCACATAAATATGGGTGTGGGGGGAGTCACGAAAGAAAATGTTCCACCTGGAAAAGAGCCTTCAGGAAGTGGAGTGCGGTGGCACTGTGGGCATGGGACATCGTGGTGGACAATTGCGCGATCTGCCGTAACCATATCATGGATTTGTGCATTGAGTGCCAGGCGGGGATCAAAGGGATGAAATCCAGGCAGTTTGTTTGTTCTTTGATCCTTGTTCTTGGTGTGAAAACCACCATTCAAGGCCAACCAGGGCTCTCACACCAGCGAAGAGTGCACAGTGGCGTGGGGGGTTTGCAATCACGCATTCCACTTCCATTGTATTTCCCGTTGGCTGAAGACCAGGACGCTTGGCTGCCGTTCGCAGGGAGTGTTTGGCAGTGTCATTGTGTTTTGAAAAGGAGAGGGCTAGCGGCTAGCGAGACAGGGATAGATAGACAGATAAGTAGGTAGGTAGATAGATGGATAGATGGATAGACGAGGGAGAGAGGAGAGAGATAGGTGGATAGGAGGATCATGGAAAGAGAGAGTGGAAGGGCGATGAGGGAGATGATAAGGATGAGAGAGTCCAGAGACCAGAGACGAGCATGAGAGAGAAACAACGTGAGAAAATGGCTTGGGGAAGAGGGAGAGAAGGAGAGGAAGACAGAGAGGGAGAGGAAAAGAGCAGGGAGAGTGCGGACAGTTGTGTAGCATGTTGTTTAATTTTGTCGAAGCAGTATGACCGTCCAGGCAAGTGTGTCCATTGGACAATGGAGAATGGGAGTTCCAGAAGTACGGACGCTGAGCAGTTGACCAAATGCGCCTTCGCCCAGCCAACGCAAGGGCCCTGCCCAGTGCACTACACACCAGACCTACAGCTCATGTATCAAATTTAAATCAGACATTTCTCGACTGGGTGGCCCTATTTTGCGTTTGCACGAGTCTTGGATGTTGCAGAGTGGCCTCACTGGCTGCAGCTTTAAATTTGCTCTGAACAGAAAGCCGCGCGACAAAATGGGTGCTGAGTGGTGAAAGGCAGAGGCGTTGCCCTGCCATGAATTGTGCTGTGAGTTGCCAGGACTCCCAATGCTTTTGGCCAGCAGATCTGTCAAACGGAGTCATTGTAGCTGGCACCGTTGAAGTTGGGCAACCTGAGGTTCCAACTCCAAGTTGCTTGAGAAATGGGAGGAGCTGAGCTTGAAGCATTGCCTGGACTCGATGGAGGCAGGGGCTCATAGGGCCTTTTGCACAGAAAGCCTTGACTCTGACCATTTGCACTTCGCCAGGATGTTGTGTATTGCCCCCGCTGTGATTTGGAGGGTGATGGGCAGCGAGTTCCTTGCATCCAAGACAATGAGCACATGGCCACATGCGAAGTCTGTGGCTTCACCTTTTGCGGTAAATGCCGAACCGTCATGGCCTTAGCTCTTGTTCTCTACCGAGCTAGCTTCTAGAGCAACTCGTGCCACTTGTGGGTACTCAACTTTGTAGAGGTCTTCGGGTCATGCTGGATTTGCCGCATCGGTTTCTGCGTTGGGCCTAGGTATACCATCCAGGCATGTGCCCCAGCATCCAACATGGGATCCCCTAGCCACAAAATGTTCACGAGAACGGAAGAGCTGTGGGTGCATGACATGATATCAGGAATCTGCCTAACTTCATTTCGGGCGCAGAGCTGACATCACGTGAACTTGCAATGGCCGCCTTTGAGGCACTGAGTGTGCCTCTGTGGATGATCGATTGGACGCCCTGGAAGCGAGAGCGGCTGGGATTGGGCCAGAGGCAGAACTGTCACATCAATCCAGAGAAAGATATGTCCCAACAGATGTGGCCACAGGCAAAGGCTGCACGCGCTGAATTGTTGACCTTGCGGCACCTGGCCAAAACAACCAAAAACTGTCCAAAGTGCCAGATTCTGAGCACCAGCGATGATTTGATTCACATCAACTTGTGCACTTTTCCTTTCCTGATTGCGTCCCTATGCCTAGGCAACTTTGGAATTGAGAAGAGTGAAGGCTGCAGCAAAGTCCTTTGCGGGCGGGCTTCTGAGTTCTTTGTGGCCAAGCGTGCTGCTATATTTTTTTGACATTTCTGGGACTTCAGCTTGCAGGAACTGCAAAACTCACTTTTGCTGGCGATGTGGCAAGACCATCACTGGCTACGACCATTTTGCCACCAGCGATTGCCGCCTGTTCGACGATGATGAAATCCGCCGTTGGAATCAGAGGGCTGGCCACTGAGAATTTTCTGGAGCTGAACAATGAATTTGACAGAGGATCGGTGAGAATCGTCATCCTCGTACTTGAGGTGCATCAGGTGGACAAAGCCCAAGCGAGAGCTCATGAGGCTGGTCGTTCGCCTGAGCGGCATTTCGCAGCTTTTATCAGCTTGGCCTGGCAGGCTTGATGTACACTGTACACATTGTTTGTTTCAGGGCATGCCGCATACCCCTACTTTGTGCGTGTTTTGTCCAACACTTATCCATGTGATTTCTTCAATTGATTTGGTTGTTCTTCACAGACTTAGTGGACAGCACCAAAGACTTCATTTCCTTGAGATTCCACCATAAACATGTAAATACTCCATGTTGGAATCTTCTTTTTACACCCACGGTCGTAGATCTGACCAATCCAGGCTCGCTTCTTGGCCCAGTTTATGGACCCGGAGCGGCTGAGGGAGCAAAGCCGGGAGTGTCGGGGGCCTCACAGGGGATGCTTGTCCACTTCTTCGACGCACTAATTTTACATGATTTCACTGTGGCGTTTGCAACATGTATATATATATATATTTTCACCCACGGTCCAAACTTGCATTTTTGATTCGTGCATGCTATCACGCAACGAGTTCAATGATCCAACACAACAGCGAGTTTGCGTTCCTGAGGCCCTCGCTGCAGGGCAGCGGTGCTGAAAGAGAGCAAGAACAATCACCTCCGTTGCTATGCTTGCATGACGCAATTCTGTGCCCCTGCCTTGGGAACGTCTTTTCTTGGGTGCCGGGCTTTGAGGGCTTGTGCTGCTTAGGCGAGATGTTTTGAAGTGCTGCCCAAAGGCAAAGCCAGTGAGCACTTCAACAAACTCCGGAGTTGCCCGCAGCACTCTGACGAGTAGGAATCCTGAGCAATCTCGGTAACGTGGTGATGGCAGCCAGAATGGCCAACCCTCCACAATGTGGTGCAGCTGTTGTGCACAGTGACAGTGTGCAGTAGATAGTGTATCTCATTTGGATTTTCCCTTGTGTACAGTGTCCAAGGCCATAATGTGGGTTATACAGTTGTACATGCTATTATACTTGACACTGTGACACTGTGATCATGCTTCAGCCAGAGGCTTGTACACCTTGTTTGGATCTGAAGCTTTGGGTTCAAGCTTGGCTGCGCCCGGCATGGAGGCTGAGACCAGATAACGGCTTAGACTTGTGGATCCTAGGGCCACACTCTTTAACAATCCAACCTTGCTGGCGCCTCTCTACAACAATCTATGCCAGCCGTTCTTGTGTTTTCTGAGGACTACTGCAGGTCTTACAACGCCTTGACCAGGCCAGCGGAACCATGCTGCATCCGGACTTTCGTGTTGAATTTCCAAAAGCCAGAAAAAGTTCGATGCAGGAAAGGTTCTGGAGCGTTCCGGATCTCGACCGAGTTGTTCAGGAGCTTGTGTGGTGAGTATTGAAGGAGCTATCAAAGAGTCACGAGTCATTCTCTATTTCTCACAAGACTTTGTGCAGGAGTTGGAAGGTCTGGACTGGACGCCCAAAGGCCACGTTGGACTCCACGTTTTTTCACTTATGCACCAGGCTTAGCAGGCTCAACTTGAGCAGGCGCGCGTCCGTCCCTGGACCAAACTACCTGGAGCCGGCTGGGTCGACACTTGGTCAAATTCGCTGGGGGCAGCGGCCTTGGTTGCCTGCCTCATACAACGCTGAACCATTGAGCAACACAGTTTTGTTGTAACCAAGGCCAGCTTGAAGCTTAGTTGGCAGCAGAGGGTTGAAGCCTTTCCCGTTTGCAACTACCAATCTATTTGACAACAGCTGTCTTAGGTTACAGCGCATCCTAGCCGCAACGGCCCCTTTGCGTTCGACACTCAGACCTTTTTCCCCAGAGCTACAAAACCCATGACAACAGGCAACCCAACAAGTGGGCAACTGGTATTAGGCGTGTGAGTCTGTATGTGGCCTGTGTACATTCACAGTCCGTTCCTTTCTCCTTGCCTGAACAACACTGGCGACCCTTACGCTAGGTTGAATAAAGTCATTCGACCACTGTTTAAGCCGGGTCCGTGAAATGCCATCGTCTTTCCAGCTTGGGCTGCATAAGCTGCTGGTCTCTAGCGAAAATGGGCAGTCACTTGCAATGCAACTTGCAAACTTTTGTGCGACCAATAGGCAGCTCGATGTGAGTTGAGTGCACTTTGTTGTTAACCACCTTGGAACTGATGCAGCAAACCGCTGTGCTTGAGGCCAAGACATCGCAAGGACAGTGAGAGACCTGACTGAGGGTCTCAACAAGTGTCTCAGCCACGCACAAGACTTAGCTGCCCTGGTGGTACAAACCAGCGGTCTCATGAGCCTTTAAGGCTGGACGAGACGAAGCCAATGAGGCTGCTTGTTGATCAAATGAGCTGGCAAGCTGTATGAGCTGCGCTGGCAGGCACTGCCACAGCAGCTTTTAGCGCACTTTAAAGTCCAGAGCCAAGAAAAAGGAGATGTGCTAGCTGCCGATTTTGCGCGCTGTGCTGCAGTCAAGGCGATTGATGGTGCACCACAGCTACAGTATTTCAGGCTACCGTACTGGACCGCGAAATCGCACCCGGGCTAGCGGAGTGGGAAGCGCTTTTTGAGGCAATGCTGTGGCTTGGATTCCAAGACGCGCTTTCTGGTGGCCTTGGCTGGTGCCATCCGGTCAATTCAGGCCTGTGTTGATTTGCCATGACTCGGTGATGAGCTGTCAGATCTCGTTTTGCACATGTCCTTCGATATCCGGCAGGATCCAGCCCTGCTCCGGCCGCAAATGGCAGCCCAGCCACAAGTGCTGATCCTGGCGGAAAGCATTGGAAGTACTTGGCTTGGACTGCTCAAACACACTCTCCAGAATATGAGATTCAGAGTACATACACAGAGAAACCACGAGTAGCCAATCGAAACGACGTAGAGTAGATAGATAGTGCTTTCGAAATTGCGGAGTATCGAACGGTTGCACTGTTGAAAAAGACTAGTTTTAGGTAGGACAGATAGGACAGATGAAAAGGCTTCTTTTGCCTTGGTCTTTAATTGAGGCACCTTTTTTACCGTCAGTGGTGACCATGTGACCGCCCACTTGCTTGCATCTTTTTTCTTGAATGCCCACTTAATCCATTTTGAGGTACTTCGACGGTGGCACGACGCAAGACTGGAAGGCTACTGTGTTGTATGGCAAGCAGCTGCAGACTATGCCGCCAAGCACCTGAAAGAGGAAGGGTTATGATAGGGCTATGATACCGCCAAGCAATTTCAATGCTCCAACCATGCAGGAGCTGCAAGACTGCTTGGCCAAAGGAATCGCTCAGCCTAGCTCTCAGAAGCTGTCCAGCAATTCAGGCTCCACTTAAAAGGAGCATGGAGAAAGTACTTTCCACTTTGTTGCCAGGCAAGCTGCCCGAACTGGAGGCCTTGGCTCCGCGGAACGAATGAACTCATCAAAAGCAGAGTTCAATGATTGACAGTATGCAAGAATCATGAAGTTTCTTGAAACTTTCTGAAGTTACACACGAGGTGCGCCTTCCTTTCAGCTTTCTTCGTGGCCCATGGCTGGCTGTCCAATTGCACGGGAGCCGTGGCCTTAGGGTAGAGATCATTGAGGTGTTGAACGAGTCCAAGTAGCTCCTAGTAGCGTCCTTTGTTCCTAGTAGTACGGCCAGGAGCCCCTTCTTGTTACTATATAGCCACCCTCCAAGAAGATTATCCAAGAATTGATGACCTACTGTAGTCAACCGCACCTGTACGGATTTGCCTCGAGGTTCTCTGCTTTTGCACGGGAGAGGTGCCAAGCAGCTTTGGTGGGTTCTTTGAACGCTTCCCACTGTCCAGCCATGTGCCAAGTGGAGTGCCATTCTGTTTAGAGTTTCAACGTGAAATTCTTGACAGCAACAAGGAACATACAATGCGACCATCTATCCTTCTACGACTTTGCCAGCAACTTGATGCATTCGAAATTGATGCATCAGAGTCCCTGGCGTAAGCAGCTTAGCTTTCTTGTCGAACGTGGCTGGACGCCCAGCTCACACAGTTTTACCAAGGCGGATCAGCTTGACCAGCGAATTTGCTGTGAGATTTCGTGCGCCCTCGGGTGAGGCTTTGGCCATTCTGAAAATGTGCAGTCTTGTGCAGGTGACGCTGGCGGCCCCAGCCCCTCTCCTAGCCCTGACGAGGCCATTCTGCGACATCTGGAGCAGAATGCACTCGTCCATGAGACATGGAGTTGGACCAGACCATGTCAATGGAGGCGACTTCTGAAGCTGGAGCAGTTGCAGCTCAGCATCGCACAGTTTGAGCCTGAAAGGAAATGTGTATGGACTGTGAGACAGGTGTTCTTTTGTGACACTTTTGTGTGCTATGCCATGCCCTATGGCTTGAACAACATGGGGCATTTGTTTCACTGCGATCTGGTCATGCCATTGAGGTCCTTTCCTTTGGTGGGAGTGGGGCGAAGTTCAAGACTGGCCCGATGGTGGCGTCAGGCAGACTGAAGCTGTTTGGCGATGTCGCACTGTTTGCTTCTTTCTACTAGTAGCGTCCTTGCTGCTAGTAGCGATGCCCTTTCTTACCAGTAGCGATGCAGGGAGCTACTAGGAGCGTCCTTTGCTAAAGGAGTTTGGGATGTTTGGTCTGAGAGTGTTATCAGGCCGATGGACAAATCCCCCACCGTCTGAGAACAAACGGACCCCCTAAGAGGAAGCGTTTGATGAAGAGCATTGCACTGGCTTTGGGCCCGTTGGAGGTAGTCCCGTGCAGGAACCGCAAGCCTTAGGCACCGAGGGTGGGTTCAACGCCCTTCCTTCGTGCGAATGACTCATTTCATTGCAGGCTTTGACGGCTTCGAATCTGCGAGAGGGAGGGGCAAAAGCGGCAGTTCGCGCATTACAGAAGATGTCCGTAAGGAGACGTCTTCAGACTTTTCCTTTCTTCTTTATTTTGTTTTCCTCCCTGAGACATTTAAACAATATATTTTTCTTATTGTTCCGCTCTACATATCGCAGACAGCCTGACCAGGATAGCAGTGGGGATGCCCCGAAGCTGGTGCGTCGGTCAACGACCGAGAGAACTCTTTCGTGGGAAGAATGACATTGCACGGAGTGACACCTCACAACTTGTGAGGTCCATTGACTGGAACGACGTAAAGTTTCTTGAGCAGTTGGCCGCCTTTGCATCGCTTCAAGCATGCTAGCTCTGCTAGCTGCATCGTTTTCCTTCACATACAGAGACATTGCAGGTGAGACTTGGGTTGAAGGCTGGAGATGAGGGCTGGAAGAAATCTTGGGAAGAGTCTGCGGCCAATCTGCCAGTCCTTTGACTTCCATGCTGGTCCATGCCTAGCCGTGCTAGCACGTACCTGAGGCTCTGTGAGAAACGAGAGATCGCCCCGACATTCTCGGAACAGAAGCCTCCCAAGGAGGTGATACCATGCTTTGCTCTCTCGTTAGCTTGACCTTGCAACATTCGTGATAGGTATTGGTTGAGTTTGTGGAAGTCAACCTCTACCAGACGAGTGGCAAGGACCGAAGATTTATATTGCCGGAAATCATGTGCCCTTGTTGTAGAATAGCAGTAACCAGAGCATGTGGCAGGAATGGGCAAAGCGCATCTTGTACAAAGCCGAGGGGGAGGACGATGCATGGAAGGCGTACTTTAGACTTCAGTTTTTGTTGACATGGAGGATGATCGCCCTGAGATCGACTTGCACACGTCTGAGGAAGAGGCGCTTTGCTCTTGCCAGAAATGATGCGGATGCAGCACCAAGTTAGGAGCCTCAAGAGCCTCAAGAGCCGCAAGAGCCTCAAGAGCCTCCAGAGGAGAAAAACCCTGAAGGTACTGAAAGCCAGCTCCAGGCAGGACTCTTGAAGGATCTGCTTGG